GGGTGATGACTTCCTTTTTTTTCTGCCTTCTGGTTAAGCTTATTCTCTAATAATCAGAAACAAATTTTATTGAGCACCTGCCTTGAGCAACTTAAATTGACTAAGTTAAATTTGTGCTTCCAGTTCTAATCAATAAGTTACACTGAACCAAGCACAAAGTATTTGTATAGTACTGCACGGAGGCGCCAAGGATTATTCAGAACACTGTGTTTATTTCTGAAATAGATAACTTAATGTGTTCATTGGGTTCTCTTTTTAAAATATAAATATTGTTGCTTAATTTTTTGCCTGTCACCTGAAGGGAAGATGGTCAGTTATTTGTGTGTGAGGTTGAGGTTGTAGATTTACCTTTTCCTTGCTCAGATTGTAGAGCTCCCAATAACAACTCCTCTTACACACTCTGAATGTTATTTCCTTGCAGGTCCTCTTCCTGACTATACCCCTCCAGAAATTTTCTCTTTTGAAAGTACTACTGGATTTACATTGTACGGGATGCTTTACAAACCTCATGATCTACAACCTGGAAAGAAGTACCCCACTGTGCTGTTCATATATGGTGGCCCCCAGGTGGGTACATTTTATTACTTATATGCATACACACACACACATTTGTATATGTATATATAATTTTTAAGGTTATTTATTTTTTGAATGTCTAGTCAATTGTTTAAGTTAAGATTTGAGCATTGTTGAGCCTCTGCTGTTATTGACTCTGGCTTATGTTCTAATTATCCAGTTCAGGAAGCTGGGTTTGTTAGATATCTAATTTGTAAATCATTGTCAGTTTCTTAGTTTACAACAAGGACTGTAACTGTCATGGGGAAGAGAATATTCGTGTCTGTAGGTAAACATGTTTTCTATCTACAGAAATTTGTTTGGGAAATGAAATTAAGTAATTAAATTTCTTGGTAAATAAAAAGGATCTTAATAGCTATTTTTAGAAAGCTGTGGTGGCTTGATGAATTCTGTCCTCTTCATTCTAAGGCTATACCTCTTAAACAAACTAGAATACTTTTATTACCTAGTTAAGGCAACTGTTATATTACTATTTAGCACTGTAAGAAATTTAACCTTGATTTTCTTTTTCCTTTATTAAAATAATAGCATGTGAGTATTAAGTAAATTCTATTGTCTATCAAAGTAAAGTGTTTGGAGTAGGTGAGTTTGTTAATTGGAATTTTTGTTAAATTTTTATTATTGATTATATATCTTACATTGAGCCATTGAAGAGATTAGAATATAATTGCACTGTTTTTACACTGTTAACTCTTGGGCTCAGTAAATATCCTTTATAGTTATACCCTATTATTTAGTATCTGAAAATATATCTAGATTCTAAGCCATCCAAAAAAATGAAAGTAAAATAACTGCATAAGCCATAAAATCTCAGTGGTGAGCTATTCAATATGTCAAGTTAACTCACTTTGCCATCATAAAGTATTTTTACAAAGAAATGTGATTTGCATTTGTATTATAGTTATCTACACATAAAAATCATGAAAAGGTTAAATTAGACTTCCATTAAAAACTTGAGGCCAAATCTTTATAAACTTTAAAAAAAACTTAATACAAAGAAATTCAAAAGAAAATTACAGGACACCTCAGAAGCTTTGTATGTTTTGTTATATTTTGATATTAAGGCTAAGTAAGAAGAGTGTTTTTTCTTTCCAATGAAGAAATGATATATGAAATATGTGAAAAACATACTATAAAAACTATCTGGTTATCTAGATTTTAAGACTAAGAGACACCTTATATCAGTAATTAAGTTTAAAAGTCTGAGTCAAATGAAAAGATATGCAACATCACTAGTCATTAGGGAAATGCAAATCAAAACCACAGTGAGATACCACATCATACCTATCTGGAGAGCTATTTTCAGGGAAAAAGGAGGGGAGAATAAAAGTTGGCAAGGGTGTGATGAAATTAGAACTCTTCTATGGAAAACAATATGGCAGTTTTTTTTAAAGTTAAACAGAATTGCAGTCTGATCCAGCAGTTCCGTTCCTGGGTGTGTACCCAAAGCAGAGGCTTGAACAGACTCTTGTACTCCGGTGGTCATTGCAGTATTAGTCACAGTAGCCAAAAGGTAGAAGCAAATCAAGTGCCCATTGACTGATGAATGGGTAAACAAAATGTGGTATATAGTGAAATATTATGTAGCCTTAAAAAGGAGAAAATACAGCATGGATGACCTTGAGGAGGACATTGTGCTGAGTGAAATAAGCCAGACAGAAAAGGACAGATATTGTATTATTCCACTTGTAAGAGGTACTTAGAATAAGCAAATTCATAGAAACAGAAAGTAGAATAGAATAGAGGCTGAGGGAGAAATAGGAGATTCCTGTTTAATAGGTATGGAGTTTCTGTTTGAGATGATAAAAAAAATTCTGGAAATGGATAGAAGTGATGATTGCACAACAGTGTGAATGTACTTAATGCCCCTGAACTGTACACTTAAAAGGATTGAAATGATAAATTTTATGTCATGTGTGTTTTACCATAATGAAAAAATCGTAGTCACTGCAATGGAAACAAAATTGTTTAGTTGTTTGGAATACTTGATGAACATAACCGTATTTTCTTATACTTGTAGAAACAATTCCTTTTTCAAAGTGTTTTCTGGAAACATTCAAATTTTGTGAGGCCTTAGGAGAATCTGGCATTCGGTTGACAGGGAGATGTCCCTAGGAGACTTCACAGGATAGAGTGCCTCTGGCACTGCACCCACGGCGGGAGCAGAGCACTCATCCTCTTGTTGGATGGCTCCGTGTGAGATAATTATGAAGAGGCTCCGTAATGTGAGACAAGTCTTTCTAATAGCCTTGTGAAGTTTGGTGAAATGATATGAGTGTTCCTTGTTCTTTCTTGGTGTATATTCAGGTCAAAATGCAACAGTTCATAACATGAGTTGAATCACTTTGTCACTAAATACAACCATGTCTGCAGTCGAACAAAAGTAAAATCTAAAGTAAAGCAACAAATACTTGTCATTAAGGTCATCAAGACTTGGTTCTTTACACTCTTCATTGGTAATAGTACTATGTTTAAAAATGTCTATTTAACAAACATTTATGATGCTTCCTATGTGCCAGACACTCTGTGCAAATGTAAATGCACAAAAGAGCAGAGTCGGTGATAGCAGGACACAGGTTTTGAAGAGCTGATTCTGAAGGCACTCGTGAATTCTCAGCGTCAAAGGGCATAATGTTTAAGCACCTCCTTCCAGAAGTAGCAGAGGCCTCCAGGCTGCCAAGGCAGAAACACTGGCTTTGGGGGGATTTTTTTTTACCAGGCACTTGGGCCATCTTTGTATGATTACAGGCAATGAAATGAGGTAGTTTTCTTTAAATCCTCATATTTGTGTTCTATACATAGTACTTCTTATTTCAACTCCCTGAGAGAGGAAGAGAGAGAAGAAACAGAAAAGAAAAACTCCTGCCCATCAAACCTCTCCTCTCTTGGTAGGAAGGGAAAACATCATTCTTCTATCTCTATCTGTAAAGAGTTTTAAGTTCCCATTATGCACAAAGTACTGTTCTCACAAGTCAGACTAATGTTCCACCCTTACAGAGCTTAATTCAGAAAATAATTAGACAAAAAAATTCATAAATGGAAATGCTATGAATAATTGTTCAAAAGAAGGATGGTAACATGACTAAGATGGAAGTTCTGATACAGGAAAGGTCTCTGCAGAGGATGAGAAGGAATGAGCCACATTAAAGATCTGAGGGGAGAGCATTCCAGACAGAGGGAAAATAGTGTTTCAAGGTCGAGGTCCTGTGGTTAGAATCAGTCATTGATAATACAGTTAGAGGATACTGCGTAAGTAAGGAAATAGTATGAGACGAGGTTAGAGAGATTGCCAAAGACCAGATAATATAGGGTCTCAAGAGACAGTGGTAAGGAGTATAGATCTAAACTCCTTACCGGTGGCAAGAGCTAAGCTATAAAATCATAACCGATTTATAATTTTAAAACATTGCTCTGCTACCGTGTGAACAAGCTGTAGGTCCTATAGTATAGGAGGACAAGAATAGAAACAGGAAGACAGTGATACTAACATCTAAATGTCAGAGAGAAGATTCTCTACCCCTTTCTCCAAATCTAGCCCAATAAATGCTCAGTAGCTATTGGGTAAAGATAGTATTTATTTATTTATTTATTTTAAATTTTTTATTGATTTTTTTATAGAGAGAGAGGAAGGGAGAGAGATAGCGAAACATCAATTTGTTGTTCCACTTATTTATGCATTCATTGGTTGATTCTTGAATATGCCCTGCCCAGAGAGAGATCACACCCGCAACCTTGGTGATGCTCTAACCGTCTGACCTGCCCGGTGAGGGCCAGTGTTGATTCCTGTTTAAGTCCTGGCTGGCTTGGTTTTTTCCACTGGTTTCAGTCAGAGAAAACTTCTTTCTCACTTGAAAGAATGTTCATTTTGTTGTTATTTAATATCTATCTTAGTGTTCACCAAACTTATGTAACTTTCTGCCCAATAATTAAAGTTCTCTTTTCACTAGACAGTTTATTTCTGGTGAAACACTAAACTACATTTAATTTCCCAGTCACTTTGAAGTAGTTTCTAGGGAGATAAAGGTGTTTAAGAATTATCCTATCTTTTGCACTGATTTGTGTAATGGGAGAAAAGAAGCTGGACTGGTAACAGTGTTTTATTAAAATACTAAGTTTTCCTGCTACTGGTCAGAGACAATCCCAGAAGAGAGGGATAGGGAAGAAAAGCGATTGGTTATTCTCGTCTGTATCATTTGAATGACACGGTTCTTCAGGGGAGAAGTAATCGTTCTAGGAACTTTTTCTGTGGGACAGATTAAACCTCTTGTATGTAATTCATATGTAGGTTATAGTTTTAAAGTCGTTAGTTGTTCAGTAATTGCCCTGAATTACATGTGAAGTTAAGAAAGAAAGGGGCAATAAATGGTAATGGAAAAAATACAATAAAAAATAAAAATTTTAAAATTTAAGAAAGAAAAGAAGCACCCTCCTACAGAGGGACGTCCATGGTTCCCCGCGTTTGGACGCGTAAGAACCGGAGGTAAAGACGCATGGACTTGGGGAGGTCTGGAGTGGCCTGCTCCCTGCAGGTTCGACATTAGCCATCCCACACAGAATGAAAAAGCAGCAGCACCAGCACCATTAACATGAAAAAGTTTAAGTTAATTTAAAAATAAATTGGGGGTATGTGGTTACTAATCAATGAGCATAAAGTCCCAGTCACACAAGATGAATAAGTTCTAGAAATCTGCTGTGCAACGTTGTCCTGTGATTAGCAGTAACATATTGTGTACTTGAATTTTTGTTAAGAGGGTCGATCTCATGTTAAATGTTTTTGTCCACAAGAAAAAGGAAATGTCTTTTCAAAGGCAAAAATGATATTGAAAATTTAAGCTTTCTACTCTTTGCAGCGTCCTGCCTCTCTTATGCTTTTGTATGCCGCCATGAAATAAATTTCACTGAAGTTGTATTTCTTCCTCAGGTGCAGCTGGTGAATAATCGGTTTAAAGGAGTCAAGTATTTCCGTTTGAACACACTAGCCTCTCTGGGTTATGTGGTTGTAGTGATAGACAACAGGGGATCCTGTCACCGAGGGCTTAAATTTGAAGGCGCCTTTAAATATAAAATGGTGTGTGAACATACAAACATTCTTTTAAAGACACAATTTCTTGTGCATTGTTTGGGGTGAAATCCCAGAGAGAGTCAGGGGAAGGGGCTCTGAGTGAATGAGAAAGAGAGAGAGTGTGCGTGTGTGTGTGTGCGTGTGTGTGTTAGAGTTTGGGGGTGGGAGGGAAGATGCAACTTCATATTCACGAGGCTAGCTCATGTTTACTTATATGTAACTTTGGGGAGCTGAGACAGAACCACTTTTTCGTAGAAATAGCCTCTGTTTGCTTTTTGTACGTCCAGCTTAGCTGGACGGCAGCACCGTTTAGCTTTCGGCATCCTGTACACTATTGAGAGGAATAATTGAGGTTTGTTCTGTCCTCTGTGAAGAGAGAAACCAACTGGTTAGTGCCTTCCTTGTGACAAGCCTCTTTCTCTCTACAGGAAGCTTTAAATGCTACCTTTTAGAGATGCCCCATGTCCTTTCTGCTGCTTTGGGAAATGATGAGAATCCGATGTTCCTTTTGCACAGTAAGGCAGTTACTGTGTTTGCCAGTGTATTGGACATGCTGAGTAAGACATGGGGATTTTCTCCCACAGCCAGTTCTTTGACCTTATGTTGTATTCTCATGTAAGTTTTTTTTTGTTTTTATTTTTATTTTGCTCAGTGAAGTGAGATTGTGTGCACTGGCAGGCCTAGTAATACAGACAGGGTGGTGGTGGTAGGAATTAAAACTTAATAGGACTTTAAAGAAACAGTATGTTTAGTTCCTAGAGGTATACTGTGGGGAAATAGGAGGATAAGGCCTCACGAATGATTCCTCCTGCTATACTGCATTACGTTTTAAAAAGGAGAAATGAAATTTAGTCACCCGATTCAGGGGGCTAATTTTTCACCTTTGGGTATGGGAAGGCTTGTTACAAGGAAGATGCTGGCTCTTAGCAGACAACAGAACAAATGGAAATGGGGAATGACCCAGATGGCCAGGGGCAGTTTGGGTTGCAACAGGAAAGAACTTTAGGACTAATGAATAACTAAACTCCAGGACAGGCTAGCAACAGAAGCTATAGATTCCTATCTCTAAATAGAGTTTAGAAAAGTTTTTCGGGCGGCAGAATCTCAATTGATCATGAATTGTAATCTAAAAACCACAGGTATTTTCAGTAAGAAACATTTATTAGCTTTAAAAGCAGTCTTACACTGAGACTCCCATTCATCAGAGCCAGTGAAATACTCCCCCTTTCTTGACAGGGACAGATAGAGATCGACGACCAGGTGGAAGGGCTCCAGTACCTGGCCTCCCAATATGACTTCATCGACTTAGATCGCGTGGGCATCCACGGCTGGTCCTACGGCGGATACCTCTCCCTAATGGCTTTAATCCAGCGATCAGATGTCTTCAGGGTATGTGGTTTCCCTTGTACTTATTTTGGTCATAAGGATAGAGTTTTCTGTACGGCGAGGGTATGAGGATGATGCTGATTTTTCTAAAGGTTTACAGACTTGGGAGTATTAAATAGATTTTTTTTAAAAACTGCTTGTCAACTTGGTGACCAGTTGTTGGTTATTTGTAGACAGATGCCAAAGGTTATGAGATTTAGTTATGATTAGTGAAAACATGCACACATACACACTAGATTGTAATTACATGTTTCATTGTTGGACTTCAAGCTCCAAGGGACCTGTCACTCAGGTACACTGGATCACTGTATCCTCAGCAGCTAAGCACAGTGCTTGACACATAATAGGTCTGAATTAAATCTGTATTAGATGAACAAATTATTAAATCTACAGATGATAGTTACAGTTCTATAAACAACTTCTTAGAAAAATGTGCTAGAAGAAAATATATAAAAATGCTAACAGTTGTTAAGAGAGTGGGAACTATGAGTAGTGGTTTTCTTTTTTATATAAGATGAGGGAAAGTAGGTTTACAGTTGTTCGTATGGGAAATAATACAGTAATTAATAATAATATAAGAATAAACTGTTTTGTGTACTCGTAACTGTAGACCTACTTTTGCCCCACCCTGTATTTCAATAACGTGATTTTATTTTACACAGTGAAAGATTATTTTTAAGAATAAAAACAATAGGGTTTTTGTTCTTTCATATATATTCAGATAACCTTTAATAAAATATCCACAAAGGGAACTTTGAAAACTGTCATAATTGGTCCATGCTTATAGCTGTTGGGAATGTAATTGTAACATTTAAATATAAAACTGCGTGGGAACTTTAGAATGAGGTAACTGTTTAGTGTTTAAATATGTTTCATTCATTGTTTTAAATCCTGTATTGCCAACAGAAGTCTTAAAAAATGACTGTTTTTCCTATGTATATAAAGCTGACAGACCCTTCTTGCACAGTTTTTCCCCAGGAGCAGGAATGAGTTTACACTGAGGCATTCATTCATATGTTCTAGTTCGTCTACCCTTTTAACAAACATGTTTATATTTCAACTAGCCCAGGCTAAGGGTTTAGTGTACAGCATGCCTGTGGAACAAAACACTAACTGACTCACAAAGTATCAAGTTATTGACCTTGGCACTCCGCCTTGATTTTTTGAGTGGTGTGAAACCATGTAGCTCTAGTCCTGGAGCTAAAGCCTAAGGATAATTTTAGGTTGTGAATTTGCAGTTACAGATTCTCATTGCTAGCCATTCTTTTCTGGACCACACTTGATTATCACTGTTGCCTTGTGCAGGTTGCTATTGCCGGGGCCCCGGTCACCCTATGGATCTTCTATGACACAGGCTACACGGAACGTTACATGGGCCACCCTGACCAGAATGAACAGGGCTATTACTTAGGATCTGTGGCCATGCAAGCAGAAAAGTTCCCCTCTGAGTAAGTTCAGGCTTTAAAATTAAGATTATAAATTTAAAATTGTATTTTTCAAAGTTGTCTTTAATAATAATTATGGAAACTACAAATACTATAGCCAAGACTAATACTTTATAGAGTACTAGAATGGCATGGATGTTTCTCAAAGCTGAACTATAGGATAGTTCTTGTGTTTTTTTTTCTACAAATTATATTTGAGGCGATTCACTTGTGCTAAAAGAAGTTTACGTGAACTGCTACTTGAGATGGAAAAAATTATTTCCGCATTATTTTACAAATAGTGTTCATGATTTTTCTTTTTCTGGGGACATGCTACCAATGCATGCTAATATTTTAATAGGAAATTTACACCTAATCTTTTTATTTTTTTAAACTTTTATACATGTAGCATCTGGTTAACAGGTTACAAATACAACATAGAAAATTTTGGATCCTTATTCTAACATTACACCGTAAGGAAGTTAACATAGTTCATTGTGATTAGTTTAAAGGTGGTGAGTGGTTTTCCTGAATACTCTGTCTTGCCTAATCCTGTGGTATTCGTTTTTCCAGACCAAATCGATTACTGCTCTTACATGGATTCTTGGATGAGAATGTCCACTTTGCACACACCAGTATATTACTGAGTTTTTTAGTGAGGGCTGGAAAGCCATATGATTTACAGGTGAGGTTTTCTACTTTTTTTCTTTTTTAAGATTTTATTCATTTTTAGAGAGAGGGGAAGGGAGGGAGAAAGATAAGGAGAGAAACGTCGATGTGTGGTTGCCTCTCACGTGGCCCTGACTGGGGGCCTGGCCCACAACCCAGGCATGTGCCCCGACTGGCAATCGAACCTGCTACCCTCTGGTTTGCAGGCTGGCACTCAATCCACTGAGCCACACCTGCCAGGGCTGGTTGTCTACATTTTTAAAATAAATAGTGATTAGTAATTGATTACTTTGAAATAACAATAAACTATGGAATAAGGCCGAATTTTCGGTTGTGGACATTCTTTGCTTAAGAGATCTAAAGTCATAGGCACAGGGAGTAGTGCCTCCAGTTGGATAAAAGTTAAGATTCTGTTGAAGTTAGGCTGAAACCTGCCTGTTAGATTCCATGACTTATGTGTTGCTATCTGCTTTCAGTTTGTAATCATGGAAAAGATTACAGGTGTCCATTTACTGTCCTCTGCTTTTCTTCTTTCCTTGCAAGGGTGAGGAAATGTTACTTGATTTTTGTTGTAAAGAGAATTTTTAGGTCCTGATTGCATTGCTCCATTACTCAAATAAAAAGATTTTAGGAGAAACTCTTCCTCCTTTCTACTTCTTACATAGATTATATGCTCTTAAGAAATGAAAAATGTTACTTTTTCCTTTTTTTGTTTCATTTGGCATTTCTGTGGGTAAACTATGAGATATTTGTCCACGGCAGCAGTTATTAAGCATTTTGGGCCCCCGTACATACCAAACAGCTTTTGTTTGTGTGGGTTATTGCTGTCATTATTTCTTGTGTAAGACATTAAAACTATTAAAATACTTATTTACTTAAAATTTTTATAATAAATTTTAATAATAAAAATAATAAAATAAATAATAAAAAAATAATAATAATAAAAATTTTAATAATAAAATTTAATAATAAACTATTACATGTTAATAAAAATCACATTTTTATGGAGAAGG